ATTATATACAGGTATGATCCTAAAGAAAATAAATGGTCCAAAGTATCACCAATGACCACTAGAAGGCTTGGAGTAGCTGTTGCTGTGCTAGGCGGTTATTTATATGCCATCGGTGGATCCGATGGCCAGTCGCCTTTAAATACAGTAGAAAGATATGATCCGAGACAAAACAAATGGTCTCAAGTATCACCTATGTCTACAAGACGTAAGCATCTAGGCTGTGCGGTATTTAATAATCTAATTTATGCCGTTGGAGGACGAGATGACTGCATGGAGCTCTCAAGTGCAGAACGGTATAACCCTCACACAAATTCTTGGAGTCCGATAGTCGCTATGACATCAAGAAGAAGCGGAGTAAGTTGCCTTAACTTTTACTATTTATTGTTTAAAACGGTCATTAACCTGATTTCCTGTAAAAACCTGTTTCACTAAAAATACTTCATTTAAATTTCATAATATTGGATGCAGATAAATTTAAAAATCATACGTTTCTTACTAACAAAAGAATTCATTCACTTATCATATTTTCAGGTGGGTTTAGCAGTAGTGAATGGTTTACTATATGCAGTGGGTGGATTTGATGGAACTGCCTATTTAAAAACAATCGAAGTGTATGATTCAGAACAAAATCAATGGAAACTATGTGGTTGTATGAATTACAGAAGACTCGGTGGAGGTGTGGGAGTAATGCGAGCCCCTCAAACCGAAAACTACATTTGGTAGCTCAGGCCCCCCTCTTCAGCCCAAATGGCTGAAACTCCTTTAACTCCTCTTACACCGATGACTCCTGTTACACCCGTAACTCCTCCCGCCCCTGTGTCGGTTCCTGTTGTTATAACTAATACTAGAAAACGCTACCGCCGATCGATGAGCATTATATAAGTAATACGTACGTTTTATAAGACTTTGCCTTTCTAGAGATGAAGTCATTTTTGTTAGAAACTATTCTATGTTCTTTCATTAGCTTTGTGTAGCTTACACTTCATTTTCACGAGACAATTACTTTGTACTAAGTACGGATGTATATTTTCCTGATGTAGAAAATTTATTCCTTGATAATGTTTATATTGTCGCGATTTAATCATGTTTTTTATATAAGACTTTGTAAAATATTTCTCTTATGTTATTTATACATTCTGTTATGTATTACAAAATACCAATTCCAACTGTTCTAGATTTAAGTGCAATACTCTTGTAATTTCTGTTCTATTTTCCTTTTCTTTTTCTTTTTATATATATATAAAGCAGCTGTGTTTATTGTGAATATTTAAAATACAAAGGAACAGAAAGGCAAAATCTCTTTGAAACATATTCTCGAACACAATATTCACTTCAATGGAATGCTTGCAGCTTCCATGTTTTCAGTGATTTAAAAAAAACAGATTTTTAAAGTATATATTGACATCAAAACTTCGTTATGGAGGACTGCTTGTGCAGTCACTGATAAAAAAAAGAAAAACAAAAATAAAGAGTTAATCAAACAAATTGTTTCTGTCTCGATAGTATACTTTCTACATGTATCGTATTTTTATCAATAAGACTGAAGTGAAACCAAAAGTTTATGTAAAATTAATAAATGAAACGAATGTTTCAGGCTCTAAGAATATTTTTGTTTTAAGATAATGTATAAAACATGCATAAGTTATAACATGATTTCATCATGTACTAAATATTACAATCATTGGATTTACGTTTCTTAATCCTTTTAATATCTCTACAGAAAACAAAGCTTGATAAATTTACGTTTTATTTGAAGCGATAAAGGAGTACTCTTATTGTACAAAATGGTAATAGGGATCATTATCCAACAATTTCATAATGTAACGTTTGTGATAATAATCTAATAAGAGTCAGTAAATTTGACTGATTGTGAGCAATATTTTACTAACATAACAAAATATTGTTTTGTAATTATTTAAATAGAAAGTTATAAGAAAGCTGTGAAAATTTCTGTCGATTAATTACAAAATTAAAAAGTTTATGAACTTACTAGTTGTGTTACATCTATGAGATTGTTGAAGAAAACAAAGCACATGTCTAGTATAAGAATATGCTGACGATATGATGTAACTATCTTTAAACAACTTGTTACAAAATATCACTATTAGAAACTGTACAGATTCTCGATATTGTATCGTAATGACTTTCTTCAATGGAACAATCAGTTTTAATTAGACATGAAACGCAAAAACGTTTCTATTTCTTTACAAACACAACAAATTTATGAAATCTATATAGTATATCTATATAAATGAAACAATTATATTGAGTTGGAATAATCCAATTACAGATTTAAAATGGTACAAATTATTGTAATCACTAAACAAAGTTCAAATAAGTGTTCAAAATTACAGATTTAATTTACAAATAGTTAAAACTGTAGTTTCATTATAAGATGTTGCTAAAAATGTTAGTATTTTAGTTGCTTAAATCAAAATTTAATTCAATTTTAAACTCATGTGAGAAACATTTTTACAGAATGACATTTACATTTTTTTTTACATCAATAAATTTTATTATAACCAATTGCTATCTTCTAATGAGACAATGGAATCTTTGAAGTAAAATTATTTTATTATTTTTTATATATACATATATACAAAGATTTCATTATATTCCTTGGGAAATATATTAAAAATGTTTTATTTTCTGCCTACTGGTGAATTCTATTACGTGGAGCAGATAATCAAAATGAAAAAGTTTTACACATAATACGGAGTAATTTATGGAAATGCTAAAAATTAGATGTTTTTTTACAAATAAAACATACATTTCAAAAGTACAGATTAAATTTTTGTTTTATATAAGGTTTCATATATGTATAATATAAGTTTATAGAAATGATAAGTTTTTAGTGTACTTAATAATTCTGAAAGATGAATTTCTTTTTTAAATCTTGTATAATAAACAAATTTCAGTTTGTATTTTTAATTTGTTTTTATGCTAATGATCTCTTTCTCAATTATACCAAATGTTACCTCCTATCTTCTACAGTGAATAGCCAATTTTCCACCATATTTTATATGTTAATCTTGAACCATTAATTTTGTTTTAAATACTTGTCATTTATACTATACAACTATAGAGTAATCATATATAAACAAAGAGTTTTCTTAAGGTTTAGTTACAACGGGAACAAGTAAAGTGTACTACAAACTGTCTTTCTAAAACCATTGAGAATATCAAGTATTATTTCTTTCAAAATACTTTCTAATACATGAATACAATTCCAGAGATAATTTACCAGAACGAGAACTATTTTATTATATTAAACACACTTCTGTAACAGCATTTTTATATTTTACTTTCGTATTACAAAAGTAGAACCATAAAATGTTCTACTATTTTCTTATATATTAATGTATTTGTGAGTTATCTAATACAATTACATCCTTTTTCATTAAAATTTTTAATAAAAGATAAGGAAAATATTAGAATATATAAAATTAAATAAATGTGAATTAAATAAATATTTTGAAACATAATCAGTGCAAAAATTGGAGATATGTGATATCTTTGATGGTTTTAGAGAAAATAGTCTGATTAATGGATCATGTTACATGTTGTTTATATGCAATATAAGAAACTGATTAGAACAATATCATTATACATATGTATGTATATCTTTGGAGTAAATATGAAAAAGTATAGTACAAAACACTTTATAAAATAATCTTTTCAGTTTTTAAGCAAAAGAATGGGGGAGAAAACAGAAGAAAATTAAAAAAATTATGAACATTTTACTGTAAGTAACATTACATGCAATTTCCAATTTCTTTTTATCACTAACATAGAATACTGTGCAATATTATTTAAACTAAGAAAGTTATCTTGCATAATTACTGTAATTGGAACCATACATGAATATATAAAATTTTAGTTCAATATTCAGTCTACACATACTTTATTTTCTAATTTTATATGCTTTATTTGTATATGAATACTTCTGTATATATTAAAGATCTGTTCAAATCCTTTAACAAAGAAAATATATCGTTAAGATAGAAGAAGAAAAATTCATTTTGCTGTAATTAACCCTTTTATTAACTAACATAAACTCAATTTTAGGAAAGAACATTTTTCCTAACATTCTCATATTTGAATGATATGAAGGTGGAAAAGAAATAGTCCATCATGATAATTTTTTAATAAGTTTAAATAGTATTTAATTATGATTGTATCCTACATCATAATAAAATAATAATATGTATTAGATTATTATATAATGTGCGTAAATTATGTTTTATTAATAATTTCAAGGAGCTATCACATCAAAAATTAACCAAAGCAATAAAAATTAGTAATCAGATTGAGATCATTATCTATCGAGAATATAATTTTTGGCTGAAAATTGAGGAATGTTAACAGGAACATAGAATATTAAAGGAGGTATCGTCATGATGAGATAAGAAGTGATACTGAGTGACGATTAGAAAATAAATTTTACATTTTCACGCAATTAATTTACATCCTACGCGTATGTATCAAAAGTTGATGCTTTTAACTATTTCCAGGTACAATTTTGATCCAAGTACCGAATATAGTTTGCGAGAAATGAAATATTATTCAAGCAAATATCTATCTATTAAATGAAATTTGTAAATCTTTATTTATGTATTTCGTAGATTAAATGGAATATTGGAAGAAAGCTGAGAGCCTAATTTGGGAGAATCAATCATAAAAGTTTACAAATTAACCGATTTAATTAGTTTTTTTCGAAATAAAATATTTCATCTATTTGTGGATATAGAAATACTATTCACCACGCAGTGGTGAAAAGTGGAACTAATAATTTCTCTATCTATTCTTGTTGCACAGAAATGTGCTCCTTATCTAAGAACAGACGAATGCTGCCATTTATCCATAACATTCAAAGCTTATGTTCCTTCTTTATCTCATAGATGACGCCATATAAATGCCATTAAATCGGAGTTAAATTACTTAAAAAATTCTACATATACATATAATAATATATTTCAAATTATATATTACAGTATGTACATTGGCCTACATACGTAGTTATTTAATAGTAAATTACAAAATGTACACTGTTCTATACACATACACACATCTAATAGTAATACACAAAACCATATCATGATCATAAACAACATAAAAAATTATTAGTTTTTAAATATAAATAAAATATGATAAGTTGTGACAATAAGGCACTATTTTGAAATAGTTTGTATAAAAACAAATCTAATTAGTATAAGTACACTGTACAACGTATCTTTAAATTGAAACTATTCATTTTTATTGTGTTATATTCAAGGACCTATTTCGTTTACTTGCCGAATAAGGACCACGAGGATCACCATATACAGGATCAAACGCAGAAAATGTAAATCTTGTTGGTGTAACTGGACTCCTTGGAGTTGACATAGTTGTACTATTTAACGGAGATGAGCATGGAGTACTAACCTTTTTTAATTGTGGTGGACATTTATCAGCTATAAAAGATGAATTGCGGTTAAACAGTTATTTATTATAAATATGAATAGAAATTATGTTAAAATAAAATACATACCAAAAACTGATCTATTCTTTATGTTTAAATCAACATTTGCTATTTTATTCTTCCATACTATAAAACAAAATATAAAGATAATATTGTAAGAAAATATTTATACGATAAGCTAAAACCAATATGAAATACTAAGAGACTCACTGTAGAAGAAAGTAATTACAACAACAGCAAATGTTCCGAATGTATAACGATGGAAGTACATATAATCTACCCAGTGGATTCCAGATAATGGTATGAAATTTTCATATTTTGTTACACGTACAAAAAGCTACAGAAACAAAATTAAATTATTATTTACAATAAATTATGATGTTTGATAAGTGTTTTTTTTTTATCTACTCACGGATATATTTTGCTTTGTAATGTCATTTACGATAACAACTTTTTGACCTTGAATTTCTTCCTGATTATGCATCAAACGCAGTTTGTATTGCATTGTAGATTTTGAAATATATTGTCGAGCACTTACAGTCATTCCATCTGGTACATCAATCTATAGAAGTTTATTACAAATGAAATGAATCGTATTTTAAAATTTACTTCAACTTCCATAGAATAATAAACTTACAGTAAGATGATTTAATACAGATTGCAACCCATATATTTCAAGTGTTGCTGTTGGAATGGTTTGAGAATGGGTATTAATAAAAATAATTTCTTTGGCATCAACATAGACAGGAGGAAGATATGTAACTTCTAAAGGCACAGCCTCAATGTCTTTACTTTGTGCACTTATTTGAATACGACTTTCTAATGTACTAGAAATTATGTTTGGAGAACCCATTGGGATTACATCACAATAATAAAATCCTACAATAAACAATTTCTATGTAAAGTTAAATAATAGTAAATTTTGTTATATGCAGCAGAATATCAAATTAAACGTACCAGTTGCAATATCAAATCGTGGTTTGACAAGAAACAGGTCTTTTATTCCGATAGATGAAGTTGATGAAACAAATTGTATATTACAGGTATAGGGAAATGAATTTAAAGTAAATAAACTAAATGTTCTACAACCACCTAAGCCTCTAGATAGGATATTGTTTTCTTTGACTTGTTCATCTTTGCTTTTAAGTACAACAGGAACACTAAAAGTTTCAGTTCCAGTAATATTTCGACCTCTTAGTGGGACAATTGATACCTATATGTACAAAACAATACCATGTACAATTTTCGAAAAAATATTAATGATTAATAATTCCAAATGATTCACTGAATGTAGTACCTTTGCAATAGGTTGGATGTGAACTTCTATTTCACCTTGCATGTGAGTTGCAAGACTATGTTTTACTACTGCATAACCAATATTTTTTGCTCGACCTATTCCTGTAATAGGATCTACAGTTAATATTTCAGGAGCAGAAGATTGCCAATAACCTGGATCACCGTCAGAAGATAAAAGTGGCATTGAAAAGCATACTATATCGCCCACTGTTAGTGTAGTCTATAATACATTATAAATTTAAATGATTTAAATGATTCATATATGAAAATTTCTTATTTAACATAAAATAAACACGTAAATTACCTTTGTGGGGAAAACTATATCACCAATCATCATATGTACATAATCAAACATTGCATTAGGATATCTTTCATTGTATGCTTTTACAACAAGGTCTCCATTTTCAATAAATTTTGCAGTAACTACATTTTCGGAACCTTTAGTAAATGATGCGAGATCAACCCGATTTAATATAGTTTTAGCATCAACTTCAGCAGCATGAAACTTTGTTCCAATATTATCATAATATTCAAGAATATAATCCAATTCCATACCCTTGGGTAACATATTTAATTCTTCTCCACTCCGAATTCGTAAAATTGATTTTAAAGACAACATCATATAATGAATAGGCTTGACCTATAAATAAAATAATTAAGATATAAATTTTTTAAACTCCCAATCAAATTCACATCTTAATAATATAATATAAATCTTACTTCAACAATAACAGTTATTGATTGTTTCAAATTATAGGCTTCGGTATTTGTAATAGAAATAACTATTTTTCCGATACTTTCACCAGCTTTTATGATGCCATTTTTATCAATAGTGACAGTTTTAGATGCAACTGTTAAAGCCTGTAAATCCACTGAATCATTTCCATGTACAGTAGACAATACTTTATAAATAGTTGAACCATGTTTGTCACGATTTGTTTCTAATTTTAAGACAGAATTTGGGGACATTAGTATCACTGGTGCATCCAAAGGTAGTCCCAAATGCATTAAACGCAATTCCTCAAATATTTCAACTTTTATAAATGTAGTATATGTTACATCGCCTTTAAAACCGGCTAACATATTAGATGGCATTGTAACATTTAAATAAATAGTTGCTAATCCAGGACTAATTGCTTTGGCTCTCAAAGATACCTCATTTTGGTATCTAATGTTAATTCCAGTACCTTCATACATATTATGCAATGTTATTAAATTAGAATCACTAGATGACCACATAAAAGTTAGTGGTAATTGCATAGAACCTATAATAAGAGGAGTTAAATGTTCTGGGATACCAAATGCCCAAAGTGGAAACATTGCACCCACTTTTACTCTACTTGTTGGCACAACAATTTTAACTCCTTCAAGATATAATACATGTATATCAGCATGATCCTCAGAATAAATAACTTTATTGCCTTTAGCATTAAGACCAATGGCTCTAACAATAATTTTTGTTTGTCCAACTGATTTTCCTTCAAATATACCATTATAGCCAACGTTCAGAATATCATTATCCTGTGTAGAGAATTCAATTTCTGCATTTGATGGACCTCCTGTTGTTTGTACTTGATAAACAGTCCCTACTAGTATTGTTAGATTCTTTGGAAAAACTCTTAAAGGAACAAAGACTTGGATAGTTGCTGATTCACTCTGTATCTCCTTTTCGGCCCCTTTATTGACGAAAATTAATTGAGATTCGCCTTCTGCCATTCCATATACCATATACAACAGTTGATTATAAGGAGGATTGCCATGTTCACTAGCAGGTAACTGTTTAACTTCTATGTATTCGTTATCAATTTCTGCTCTAAATTCTAAAGCATTCAAAGAAGGCAATTTTATAGCATGGCCATTCGTGTCATAAAGTTTCAGTGCAGCTACTATGCACTTTCCCTTTTCGATTTTATTCACTGTTTCTATCTCTATTATGGCAAGTTGTTGTATTTCAATGACAACTTCAGCTGGTTTTGAAGGTAAACAAAGATCTATCAATGATAAATGAAGCACTCCAGATTTTTTTGGAGTGAGACTAATTGCTTTTGTTGACTCTATATATCGAACTTCTGCAATATCATCTGAACTTAATACAAATTCGTAATATCCAGAACCCTGACTCACTTGCAAGTAATATTTTGCAGTAGGATCATTTAATACCATTAATTTATCAGGGATAACAGAGGTATCATTGACTAAAACTACTTCTATAGAAGTTTCTATAAGAGGCGTTTCATAGATTTTTCTTTCAGTCTCAATTGCGAATGGCGGCCATTCGGGAATTATTTTTAATTTACTCAATATATATTTTTGATAACCCGTAACTGTAGCTGTTAATATAAGAGTGCCAAAATGTTTTTTAAAAATGACATTTTGATAGTAACTTTTTGGTAAAATAACATTCATATCCGTGATTGTTTCCTCTATAGAACTAGAAGGCATTTCTACAGAACCTACAGTCGAGGGTTTCAAATTCCATTCAATTCGTAAACTCGTAATATTATCGAATGTTCTACCTTCTTCATCCTTTATTATTGTAATAAGCTTCAAATTTTTATCACTGTGTGCCATTATCCTTTCTATATTAAGATTGCTGATAGGACAATTCTTATCCTTAAATTCAGGTTGAAGATAAATATGTCTAGGTTTACCACAAATCACTTTTACTGTTTCAAATGCATATGTACTTTTACAGTTTGGCAGTAGAGGAACATTTGAAATTTTATATGTTACATCCACCTCTCCAAGGGCACGACACATTACTTCAATAACGAATATATCGTGCAATCCATCTGAAGAATCTACATGTTCTGTTACATCAACAATTTTTTCCTCAGATACTTGAATTTTTCGCGAATAACTTTGTGGCTTGTTAGACCATGGATGGGGTCCACCTTTAAAAACTATTTTCCTCAATGAACCCACTGTTAATAAAGTTTCCTTGCTACTTGGATGTAATGCTATTAAAGGTTCATAGGCCGACACAGTAACGTTGTCAGTCAAATATTGACCGTTACCGTTGTATACTACAGTTACTTCGGATGTTCCGATATCCACGCTAGTAACTGCTATAACGGCACATGCAATTCCTACAGGTTCTATGACATTACTATTGTTTTGTATAAAATTACCGTCTGGAATGTATGTCTCAAAATTAATATCTCTACAATCATTGAAAGGAATTTCTTTGGAGTCTGTTCCATTAATTAATCTTCCATATAATGCAATGTGAAGATAAATCTGTTCTCCTACAGCAGCTTCCATGTTATATTCAATTACTTTTACTTTGGAAGGAGGTAATACATACACTTTTGTTGTGTCTTTATTATACTGATTTCTTGTCATAGCAACATTTATTTCTGTTACACCTGCTGTTAAAATTCTCATTCCTCCATTTTGAGAAATTGTTGCTATAGAAGGATGTTTGCTTGACCATACGTATGATCCATCTCCCCCACTTGCGTTTAGTACAGTGTCATACCTATAATAATAAAATAAAATTTCATATATTAAATTTAATAAAAATATTATTATTAACGAAAAAGAATGATGTATTACACATAATAATAGTAATATAAATGACAACCTTGATTTAGCCTTAGAATCCCATGGAACTGCCAATACCTTAGGTTGTATAGTAACAGGAGTATGAATCAAAAGCTCAGCTCTTGTAGTAGGACGTGAAGCAATAAACACTTTTCTACCATGTTTATCAATTATACCATTGAGGGTAGCTTCAACAGTCATTGTTCCACATGTGATAGGCACACCAACAATATAAGTGCCATTTTGTGTTATCATCTTTGGTTCAAAGTAGTGTTCATCTAATTTCACTGATACTTCAACACCTTCTCCAATGTGAAATTTATGATCTTTATTATCATATAATTCAACAACAATTTCGTGAGTATGACCAAGTACTAAACCCCAATTTCTATTGGGTAAAACAGCAAGCATTACATACGCTACATCATTTACATTAACTGTAGCAGATGGTAAAATAACGGGATATTCATCACGTACATTTTTATCATGTAAGAATATTTTGGTACGTCCTAGAGATTTAGCATATGCAAAATCACGATCGTTATCAATTTCTAATATATTAGGATTTTCTGCTTCTAAGTAGTATTGGCTAGATGGTAAAGTTATTTCTTCCAAACGACCTTGACGAGCCTATAAATATATTAATAATTCAATTAACATTAATATGCAAAATATGTCATGCATAATAATAGTGATACTTACTTGCATTATTTTATATTTAAAACTATCATATGCCATAACTGTTGTGTCTGATGGAATAATAATTAGATTGGCTATTACAATTAATTCAACTTCTATTGGTGGAACATGTTTATATTCTGGATAAGTTAATTTCACAGAAACCTGCAATCAAAAATATTTTCTTCTCTTTATATATTTTATTTATAACTAAATATTTTATTTTGCTTGAAAGTGCAATAATATTTACGTCTGTATAGAATACATTGATACCTTTGCTGTGCCAGTTTTTATTCCTTCTAGCAGTACGATATGTCCTTTTTTACCAATTACATCTAATGCGGCAATTGTTGGTGGAGTTTCATAATGTGATTCTTGATAAGTCATAAATCTTAAAATATCATTTGGTGCTTTAGAATCTGACATATGTTTATCAGCATTGTCTATGCTCCAAAGAAATTCGACACCAGCAAGAGTAGTAAATTCATTTCCTACAAAAGCATATCATATCATAATCGAAATTTATGTATGTTTTAAAAGCTTACAAACTTTAAAATAATAACTTTAAAGGAATGTTCAGACAATCAGTATTGTACGTAAAAGACCCTGTAGATGCTCAATATATATTATTAATACAATGCTGGAAACCTTAAATATTGATAAATATAAATGCTCTTTTATATAATGTAATATATAAGGTTTTATCAAATATCCTTACCTTGTTCATCGTATGCTCTAACTTCAAATGCTTCTGGTGCTTCCTCTATATATAATTCTCTGGTAGTTGTCACAAGATTTAGAGAAAATATCACATCTACTATAACATCACATCTTAAAAATTGCCCATTATTAACATCTTCTGCTAATACTATTGCAGTATTTCTATTGGACTCTCTCGTTATTGTTTGAATCAATATAGCAGAAGAACAAGTTCTCTCGACATTTTCATTTATAGGAATTAGTTGAATAATATCTAATCGCGATGTTGACCTATTGATAAATGTATTTTTAATTTTAAATATAAAACCATAACAAGGTTCATCGAAAATCATAGTACAATCAGAGAGAGATAGAGAGAGAGGGAGAGTGAAAATCCATGAAAAAAATTACTTTTGAACAAATAATAAAATATTAAACATATGAATGAAAAATTGAAAAGATTTAAGTTTTAATACTAAAAATTGCAACTAAATAAATAACAAATTAATAAAACTAGGTTGTAAAAGAAATAGTAGTTACCATTTATAGCAAGCACCATCAGTAACTTCAAGTGTAAAATTTACAGCAAAATCATTAAATACTGGTAATAAAACTCTGGGAACATTTAATCTGTGTACTAAGGCATTCGATGTTACACAAAATAAAACAAAGAGTACCGAAAAAAACATTTTTAAGGGTTCTACAAAGTCAAGTATAATTTCTTCACGTGTATTTAACGGTAAGGAATCTACTGAACTTGGCGGTCTCTAAATAGCTTTCAAACCAGATTACATACTTCGATACTGATCGATAATTATCGATACTTTCAGTCGATATTTAAATTATATTTAATTTTTATTGTAAAAAGAAAAACAAATTTATACATTGTATTGAATCTCTAATATTTCTTACATATCCATTGCTGGTTAAAGAAAAATATTATTTACTTAACTTCCTTTGATTTTTAATTTATTCAACTTTATTTAATTTTCAAGAATCATGACCAATCAGAAAGATTTGTAGTAGCTGCTACATGGAAAAGTGCCAGAAAGTCACAACGGTACTGCGCATCTGAGTGCGCAGAATTATTTTCCCGCGTAGAGTCAACGAATAATAGAATAGTGCGAAGAGGAAAGTCATTTCAATAAGCTTTTCCGTCAGAAGTTTTCGAAAAGAGCGAGACTATGTAAATATAAGTATGTAAATATCGTTGAAATTTATTATATTTCCTTATGTAAATTTTTTATATATATTTTCATAAGCCTCGAACAGCTTTAGTAACACTGAACTAGGCTGTGAATATAGAAAGAAACATTGAAATATTAAGCTTCTCAGAACATAAGAACAATAATTTATTTCACTTTCATTATACATTTTTTTACATAACCTTTTAACTATAAATAAGTTATTCATCTATAGCTAAAATCAATTATTATTTACAATATCCACATTTATATCTCTTGACATTATTATATTTTAATACATTAAATTGTCAGTTGTGAAGTTCAATTTGTTTTCTGAACCTCGGTAGAATATCTGGCATGGTTCATCATAGACTCTACCCTGTTAGCAGTTTCTCTTACAACATCAGATATTTCATCCGGTAAATGATCTAAGGTAGGAATGTGTGCAGATAGTCTTTTGTATACAGAATCTCTATTTCCATCTTTTTTGTGCCTACGCTGTTCTTCATACTTTAATTGTTGTTTGAAAAATATAGCATTCTTGATAAATTCTAAAGTGTTCTCAAAACTCTTCCCAGCACCATGCATTGTCTTAATAGCGCTTACAGCATACTCTACATCATAACACCTGCCTAAAAGTTGCTGTTGAAGTGTAAGCACTTCTACTCGTTTATCCACCATAGGAGGCAATGCCTTCCTTACATGTTCCTGAAGTCTATAAAATGCAAGCGATGGCTCATTTGCAACTATATGCATGTTTTCAGATATGCGTTCAGTTGCTGAAATGTTAAAAAATGAGAGTAATGATAATCTAAATATATTCGGTGATAGAAGTATACAGAATCCTAACCTTTTTTAACCTTCGTCTCTAATTCTTGATCTGGTTGATATATTTTTGCAGTCATTGTATAAATATTGCAAATATTGTATAAATAATAAGTTACTAAGAATTTATAAGTTATAAATATACAAAATTCAAAAATTAAATCAATTTAGTTAATGAAAAATTCTGTTTTGTTGTTTTACGATATACTGAGAATATTCGACACAATTTCTTTATTGTTATTAATGTATGATATATAATACAAATAAATTAATTAAATTTTCCGTATCAATGAAATTATTATATACATTCAACAAAACATTAGTTTGTTTTCACCGCCATTTTATTAAACGCTCGTTGCCGGAAATTAACTGCTAACAAAACTGTTTTCTTTTGACGAAATGTAATATCTGGTAATATAGAAGTGTATACTGTTGGTACTGCTCTCAACATATATAAGTTGAACTTGGCTTTGTTGGCGTTATGTTTAATGATTATAGATATGTAGATTAGAAAATTTAAAATACTCAATACACCCATAACACAAAACATATCTATATATTGTTCAAGTATTTGATGCGGCTAATATAGCTAGGAGGAAGTTAGAACTTAATAAACAACATTATTTGAAAATTTGTATCATGCTTCAGATAATAGATCTGGATAGTAGATATTTAGAGAAAGTAAGAAAATTTTTGATTGATGGGATAAAACTTGATTTATGATTGAACGAAGATTTAGGAAGATAATCTCAAAGATATCAAAGATTTCTGTAAGAGTAGAGACGTCAAAAAAGAAAGAGAAATTTTTCAAATCAATATTTTTATATATTTTAAATAATAAACATTTTGAGCCACTTGTTTTTTAATAAAAGTTATCTTTGCCATACTTAGACATCTTTAATTTTTTATCTTATAGAATGGCTCAGTGCTCCATGGGCACCAACTCATGTGAAAAAGCCCTTAAGAAACTACTGAATAATAATCTTAAAATGTTTACGGTGTCCAAGCTTCCATAATTATAAACGCAATCATTATTCCCGGTCCTTTCATGTACGTCATATAAAAATTGTAGATATATTTGATATAATGTTAATAAAAGGAAATACAGATATGAGTAAATGTGAGCTAGAAGTACCATAGATGTGAATGAATAATTCGAATCAATCCATAATCGTACAGTTCCTCTAAATGATTACTATAATTTTGTGAACTTATAATTGTTATAATGTACATTCTAACGCAAATATTTTTGACACATTTATTATTTTCGTATCTTGTAATTGGTGGTCTGGAAGAGGAACAAGGTGTTAAATATGCAAATAAATGCGAAGGTAACTATATATATACATACGTGCAGTGTATATTGATAAATTTTTTTAAATGTACACAGAAAGCAATAAATATCATTGTTTTGTTATAGTTTGCAAAGTTGTGGCTATCGAATTAGAGGCTAAATTAGATGAAACCGGTAAATCGCACGATGTACTTGAAATTGGATATTCTGTTGATGATGTTTCACCCAAGAGGAAAAAGGAATACAAAAAATCGTAAATATGAAATATATTTTTAAAGACGCAATATTCTATGTGTTCGTAAATTCTAGTTTACATTGGTTTTATTATGTTTAGAGAATTACGTTTAGTAGAAAGTATGGAAAATCTGTGTGAACGTATATTGGAATATAATATTCACAAGGAACGTACAGATAGTACACGATTTGCCAAAGGAATGAGTCAAACATTTAAAACACTTCATGGACTTGCGTAAGCTATAATTTAAAAACAAGAAGTTCGAACTTAAAGTACCATTAGAAATAATTATATTATATTTACATAGGCATAAAGGTGTCAAAGTTGATCTAGGAATCCCATATGAATTATGGGATAAACCATCTGTTGAAATTACTACTTTAAAATCACAATGTGAAGATTTAATTGAAAATCATGAGTCTGACATTGAAGACTGGTATCATAACTATCAAGGAAAAGTTCCATTAACTAGGTACTAATTTATTATTATTAGTTATATTTTATATTCAGGTTTTATTTATTGAGTTTAATTCCATTATGTAATATAATTTTCATCCTATTAGGTTTTTGTGTTCAGAAAGAGTATTAAAGGATAATGACGATTCTTGTCTGAAAGAAAAAGGTGATACTAGTGGTGAAGTTAAAAAGAAAAAGAAAAAGAAGATGCAAGTTGCAAAAGTTGAAAACAAAGAAAATGATGTGAAAGAAGAACTATAAACTATTCCAAAAAATTATCATCATTATTATTGTTATTGTTATTACTATAATTCATCAGTGAAACACTTTTAATTCATAATAGAAAAATTAATACAACAACAAAACATATAAACATATAAAACATATAAAACAAGACAACATATAAAAAAGATAAAGTGACTTAAAAAATATAAGTAGAATAATATTATGTAATAATATTTTTTGAAGCCAGCTTTTTCTATTAAAAATTTTAATATCATCTTTTTATATTTGATCTATAAATAATATAAATAGTGTCGTATGATTGCCATAATTATTATGTTAATATACTTACCTTTTAATTAAATAAACAATTTTACATTCATTAAAAATCATGGACATTTAATTTAAGTTATTATAGTATTAACTTGAAGATAGCTACATAAAAATAAGATATATTTCAAATACATATTATATTTTCTATTTCATTTTAATGAATATGTCATTTTACATTTCATTTTTTCTGATCTTTATAAATTTGAAAGAATATAAAGGTATACTATTAAAAGGTAAAAGAGCTCAAGATGGTCAGTTTCCCTGGTTGATACAGTTTCAAACAGTAGCACCATGTGGTGGAGTACTTCTATCACCAGATTGGGTTTTAACCGCAGCGCAATGTGTGCAAGACAAGAGAAATGTATGATACTTTTTCTACCTAATACTAAGAAAAGGATATATATATAGTCATATCTTAATTTTATTAATACAGTCCATTACTTTATTTGCAACTGGACTAAATGGAACTGACTCTAAACAGACATTACCTGTAAAAGCTACATATATATATCCCACATATGAAGCTTATTCTGTTCTTCCTGATCGAGATCATAACATAGCTCTTTTAAAACTTACTAAGCCATTTGACATGTGCCATAATAAAATAATCCTACCTAAGGTTGTGCCTGTCAAATATGATGATGATTACAAACTATGTTTGATATTTGGATGGCAAAGTTATGTTGCACCATCTTCAAAAGTTCTAGCTAAGCCAGTTCTATATTACGAAGTAATTCTTAATTCCTGGAAAATGTGTACGTATATGATAAAAACAAATACAACTTACACAAATGTATTTTGTACAATGGTTGAGTTTAAGGATGAAATGAGAGCCTGTGCTGGTAATCCTGGTTCTCCAGTTATATGTGAGAATCAAAAACATGAGATAGCTCTAGTTGGAATTGCATCTTGGACAAATTTTTCTTTAGAATGTGGAGATCTTCCAACATATATCGATGTTGGTGCATTCAGGTATAAGTTCAAAAATAAACTTACCAACAATTTTCATAAAATTTTAAATTAGAGAAATAAAAATTTGACATATGTATTTGAAAATGAATTATAATGTATAACTTTTGCAATTAGGGCATGGATGGATGATTTAGTTTTTAATAGCAAGGACACAGAAGAATGGGAAAATAACACCAAATTAAATGAAAAACAGAGCACATTTAAAGAAAACATTAATGTACATGATAGTTTATGGAATCATTCAGATCTTTTACAATTAGGTTCACGAATAAGTTATTGGCCAGGTAATACAAAAATACATTTACATAATAAAACTGGGACAGCAATAAAGTATCAAGAGGTACCTATAGAAAGTATGAACAAATCTTATTTTTGGAATAAGTTATATCCATCTATTTCCAATAATTTTAACAATAAGAATGCATCTTCCTCCGATGGCTACTATAAAATGTCTTATCTAGATGTAGCAAAAGAACCAAGTAGTAATATCTATAAATATAAAGAAATTGGAAGTTCTCAAAAAAAGAATCAATTTGTAGGAAATTTCAATGGTGCTATGAATAAATCATTATTGTGCAACATTCAACAATTTGATAAAGTTACAGTACAACAAAATAAGGATCAAATAGAAATAGATGATTTTGAATTGTTATTACCACTTAATTTTGAAGCTGTTTCTTATTCTAATATTACTGTTGCATACTCTAAAAAATTATACCTATTTTTTCATTTTGTATTTTGGTATCTTTACATTATTATTTATACATAACATTTGGCATTTAAGTAAGCACATGTATTATATGAAATACATTTTATACAAATACAGTTTGATTTAATACACTGAATTTAAACAAATCAAATAACTTATTACTTCCTAAATAGTGGAGGAATCCATTTCTTTTTGCCACGAAGTTCTCTTAAATGTTGATACTCTTCCTTAAAATCTTCATGTTCATCTCTGTATAATCCATAACTCCTAAGATGTTTCATTAATAAATCAGATTCAACGTGCCGTGGATAATAATCAACAATTTCTGGTCGCTTATTTATTGGTCTTTCGCTAAATAATGTCACTACTTTCATCGATTTTTTATTAGTCGTTCTTGTTACTTCACCAAATATTCGATTACTTAAACGATTCATATGTTTGGCATAACTGGTACCTGTTTTTGCAAGATCCAAGTATTTATTCATTTTAAAAGACATTTGATTATTTCTTTTCAGAATGTATCCTATGTAAAGAAGAATAAATTAAGGTTATATAGGTTAGAAAGTATAATATTGTCTATTAAATTTAACTAGTTTTGAATTTTAATCATTAATATGTTACTTTAACTAAATACGTACTATTAAATACGTATATGAAGGTGTAATAAATTATTGATATTCGCTTCTACTTAGAACTTTAAGTTTCAGGCGTGAATAGCAGTACCTTCAATAAATATATAGAGTGTTAAAATATTTCGAATAGAATCAACTGCTGATTTAAAATAAACATAATTTTTTTTACAAAGATTAATAAAAAGATAAAAAATTGTTAATAATAAACTTACAAATTCCTATATAATTATCTAAAATTAATTTACAGGTGAGATTATCATAATTACATTATTACATCAACATTGTTATATTTTTATTTAAAAAAGTAAATTTTCTTCCAATAAAGAATGTTGGAATTATTAATTAATTGATAATATGATTTATCATTTATTTGTTATATATTGTTTTTTTATTATACAATTTTCGTTTGACTTTTTTGCAAATGTTAACAAAAAGTATGCATACAGAAAAATACATATATTATATGAATTTTTACTATTAATCTTTTTTATTTTTATTTCAATTTTTTTCCTTATATCTATTTATTTTATTACATTTTATTGAATATTGTAAAATATTTGATTCATTTATAGGATTTAAATTTCCTGCTCAGTAGAACACGCATATGGCGCAATATGTCAAATCGTGAAATTTGAATTTTACTGATTAAACATCGTAAACTGGTATTTAAAAGTTTTCCTTGTGATAAACGTAAGTATATTAGTATCTATCTTATTATCATTCTTTGATTAAAGAAAATAAAGATATCAGAAAATGAAGTTAATAATTAAACGAATTTGACGATACAACAACATATATATAACTGCCGTTTCTTTAACCTGTTTAATGGTCCCATAATTAGAAAAAAATTAATATCTGTTAGATTGATTTTAATTCTTGTAAATGTATGTAAATGTAATATACATACTTTATTTCGGATATAAATGGTACTGTGCCTAAAGAAATAGGGAATCTTTGGTCCACATGTAATTAAATTAATTATAATAAATATTAATTATAAATTAGTTACATATCTATTATCATTTGTTCAAGTGTAATAATGAAATAAATAGATTATTCTTTTCATTGCTTACAATGTTGAGCTACCGATACAAATTTTATGTAATAAATCTCGACCATCAGTCAATAAATCAATCCCTGTAATTCACCAATGAAATTCTCCCTTTAGTATTAATCGGTTTTCGTCTATCCGTGAAATTTAGTTAGAAGTCGACAAATGTATTCGTTTAAATCTCGAGTGATCTGCTTGTTAAAATGTAAATGCTTTAAAATATACGATATCGTAAATAATTCCTGAGAAATTCAATGAACTGAGGATTCAATTATAATAATATCAGAATTTTTAATTCATTGTTCATATTAACTTTAATTTATTGTGTATTGAAATTGTAATGTTGTATAATGATGTTGTATTGTCTGTTTTGATTAATTCATTTCAATTAACAATCAAAATTTTGCCTAAAATCAATGTGTGTATTTCTAATATCAAATTTTTACATATATATATTATTTAATATTTTACAAATCTAATTGTATATTTTTTTTTATTAGGAAACATTAAATGGAAAAAATTAAGTGAACAATATGACCCAACATTTTAATCTAGTATACCTTACAAGTAGATTTTGCCAATCTTGTTAGCAAATATAATAAGAAGCTTGCACTGTGCAACGATGATTAACAGTAGGTAGCAAATATGTTAATACTAGGACTAATTGCAATACAAATGGGAATCCATGCTGTTAATTTTTGTAATGTGTTCAAAATGAAATAATATTGTTTTTCTGATTTTATGTAGACTCATTTGAGGGTTGTTATATACCGTTCTAAGTTGTTAAATCCCTGTTGCTCATTATTAACTATTACTAACTATTATCCAATTATGTCATTATGAACAAAATCAAAGAGTACAACAAGATATTATCAATTTTCGGAAATCTTTCAAAAATGTGATCTTTCAATTTCCGTATTAAATTTTACTCATCAATTTTATAGACAAATTTTGTTTGAAGAACATGTTTTTAATATATAAATTACGCCATTTCTTTATCGTTCTTGAAGCATTGTAAAAAAGAGCCACAATAAATTCACTGATAACAACGAAAACATCATAATCCTTATGTACCATTACGTACATAACGATCTGCATATACATATAATATGTAAGCAACAGATTAGAGATCCCCAGGGTATGAACTTTCATACATTTAAAACGGGACTTCACGAAACTTACTGCTCTCTAATTGAATTAATATCATCAATAAACAATGGCAATTACACACATACTATCGTCTTACCTTTTCGTTTTATCCTTTAAAATATATATGTACTTAAAACAGAAATCAAAATTTAAATTAAATTTCCTCTAAATCTTCAATGTTACCAAAAATATAATTTCTTATCCGCTCATATTCTTTTAATACATTAAATTCTGTTTTTTTTTTTCAAAGCTTTATTTTATACCATCAAACCTACCTTAATCAGAAATTACAATATTTCCCACTATCGATATTATATCCTTATGAATATGCATATATAACAACGATATATTGTACTTTTAGAAACAATGAACATTATTTCTTTTTCACAGAAAGCTTACTTTCATCGGTACCATAGGAGGCCTGTAACGGAATCAAGATCCATCCAGGTCGGCAGGAAGGTTAACACGGTCAGTTTATTCATTACGGATTATAAGCGGATGGAACATTCGTCGAGGAATATTCTTATGACAACAATGATTGAAAATATCGGCACGTAAATTACCAGCAAATTAGATTGGCGAGTTTTGTTGAGGCTTCCGTAAGCGAATCGAGAAACCTGCCAAGAGTCAGCGCATCTCAGAACTTCTCCGACCTCCGGCAAGGTGAGTGCTACTCTCTAATATTCGACCACGACTATCGGACGGACTTCCTGTGGCACGTGACTTCTTCTCGTCACCGAAATTCTGTTTACTGGGTAAGTGCCAGTATCGAGAATACCTGTCGAAAATATCGTCAAGAGAAAACACCGATTCGATTCTGCGAGCGGACGATTTCGAAACAACGAATCTAGATACGGCGATAATAATTATTTCGCCGAATTTTCGCTCGGCATTTGTTCATATTTGCATCTATCTGTATTAATTACGTTGGTGGTGGTGTGCCAAGATATTTCAAAATCGTGTCCGAAAAATTTCCACTGCATTTTGCAGTGCTGATTTTTCAGATACCATTGGTCTTAGTTTTAGCGTAGGTTGGCTATACATACGTGCCTTGCATTTTAAGAGACATTTCTCGAGACTGAAGTGAACGTCGAGGCAAATGGTTGTAGCAGATTTTGTTCTCTCGAGCTGCGAAGTTTTTCTCCGTTGATACGTTATATTAGTCGTAGATCGCAAACGTCTGTAATTTTTACGCCTGATAAAGACTTCATTCGTTGGAAATAACATGTTTGATCACTGATCACTAATCAAATAATATGTCAGACTAGATAAAATGTGCAATATTGTATTATAAAGATGAAAATCACGATTCTGGGGAAAGTCGTAAATTGTTCGAGCGTTTTTGTTGGAGGAACATTGAATGTTTGTTTCCTGCACTTAAAATTGGATATGGTGTATACGACATATTTTAAATGGATTACTGTGTAATTTATACAGGATGTCCCACGAAAAGCAGGATGTGATTCTCCATAGAAAAGAATAAAAAGCATAAGAAGAATACAATTTTTGTATATAAAGCTTCGTTTTCAAGGAGACTGACTTGGAGATTTTGAAAACGTAACAACTATACGTGCGTTTAACTCATAAGTAATGACGTGATGAATCTTGGTTTACATTCTTTCTTTACAATCTTTTATCTTATCAACGTAAGCTAACAAAAATATTGAATAAGACAAAATGTTTCATCAATCTAAATGGTTCATCAAGTCATTATCTAGACATATACTCTACTCGATACATTTTCAAAATTGATTTTCTCGAAAACGAAACCTTAGATGTTTTTAAAAATTGTGTTTTTTATTTCTGATTTATTATCTCTGCTCGATGGTATTACCGTATTTTGGAGCATACTCTATATGTATAGTTTGGATTTGTTTAAAAAGATATAAATTCTATAGTATAAAAGATTTCTATGAAGTATTAAAGAAACACGTGCGAAATTTGTTTGTTGTATCAGACTTTTTACTGGAGAGAATCGATTTTGAAATTTTGTTTGTTACATGTCGTAATTCGTACACGTACGTACATATGCATGCATAATGCATATGTGTGGTAATATAGATTACCAAATAAGTACAATGCCAGTAGAAAACTGATTCTCCATGAAAAAATAAGTCGTAAATATGGTTACTGTTTATGTGATAGTAATTAGCAATTATATGCAGGGTGTTTCACAGTAAATAGAAAAGTAGAATGAAATGTAAACTATGATTATTATCGTAACTTAAAATATGGGAGGAAATAAATAGCAATAGAGACACTCGCACCGATATTTATAGTATAGATGTGACAAAAATCAACTAGTATGATAGGATCGCTAAAATGGAGATTATTTTTGGCGTGCGAGGAGGAGTAGCCTTGAGCAGTAGAAATCTTTATTTTTAATTATGGTAACTTTTTATAATATAAAATATAATCATCCATTCATGAATATTGTTTAATTCGATCTTTCTAATTTAGGAGTGAAAAAATATAAAGATATGTTAGGGTAACAGCTAACATTTTAGATATATGTAGTTTTAGTAACTAATAAGATACTGAAACTCGAAATATCGTAAATTCTAGAATCAATGTAGTACTTTGTTTTATTTTTGAAACTTCAAGAAGTTGTGCCAAAATGAGACAGCTGTAGCATATATGATCGCCTAAATTTCTATTAAAGGTGACATTATTGCGATTTTATTTTTGATTAATAACAGTTTGATAACTTAATTTTCTTCGCAATTAATTAAATTTCGTATATTTTGAGTTAGTTTCTCTTCCAAGTAAATTCATTTAAATATAATTAGGAAATTTTGTTATTTCCATTTGTACAATGTTATGTGAACATGCATACGATGGACTTAAATGTCTTTTAATTATTTCAAGCCTGTTTGCGAGCATGTTCTGGCTTGACATTGTGAAAGTAATTTCTTGGAAGATTTTATGACAAATAAAGTACATAGCCAGTACAGTTCGTACAATCAACAGAAACACAAATGGAATTATCCTCTAAGCGTACATTGTAGTGTTCGTACATTTGCGTCTAACATTATTTAGAATAAAACAATGAATTTATTTAATGATTTTCTTTCTCTTTTGAAAAAGAATATTACATATGCAATTCTTCCAAGTACCATGAAATAATGGTTTTTACTAAAAGTAGTTGTTACATACAGGATGCCTGAAAAGATTGGGACAAAACAGAAAGATTCATATAAACTTATATCTGAAAATGCTTTATCGAAGAGTTATAAGTGTTCAAAGATTTTCGGGAGGTTACTCTTAAGACTCGTTATACTGAATCGCAATTTGTATGCATCGAATGCATTTAGTATTCCATATCTCTACAACAGCAGGAATATTCGAAAAAGTTTACAATTATTAGTTCGACGATTGGGATTCTGTGTTTTTGCAGAAGCAGGAAATTTTGATTCTTCATTTACTGTAACTGTTAAAATAATTAATACAAATTTTTGAACGCTTATAACTCTTCAATAAAGCATTTTCGGACGTAAGTTTATATGAACTTTTTTTATCTACTTGACCTCATTAACATATAGTATGAGTTTTGTCCCGACCTTTTCGGATACTTTGTACATAGTATATAGAAAGGGAAATAGAGTATTTTAACATTTAGGATAATATAAGATTTAAGGTAACATAGACAATTTAAACTTGAAAGGGCAAATTATGAAACGTCGAAGAACGAAGCCATAGTAGTTATTTTATGTGGAATGTATCCACGAATTCGATAATTACGATACATGATACAGTAATCTTGATCGGTGTGTAAGTAGAGCAACGAATCGACTTTTTCATGAACAGACTGTTTCATTCGGTGTTTATTTTTCAAATCTGACGGTGTTATAGTTCGTATTAATATTTTTGAAGGTAAAGAAATATCGGAATTAATTTTTGCTTAAAGCAATAAATATTTTCAAGAGTATTTTCACTTTATCGTTCGAACGTTCAAATTTAATTTATTTATGGTTTTTCTCTGCCTAATGGTCATTACCGGTAGAGAAGAATAAGTGTGCAAACCGTAAAAAGAGAAGAGAGCATTAGAAATTTATTATGGGTACGCGCATTGTGCTTGTTCCATGTGTTCCTCGTTAAGATTCAAGCTTCGTTGCTTCCGTTGGAAGCGTCAAAGGGTTCTTGATTGAAAGTACTTAAAAACAGCTCATCAACGAATGGAAAAACAAGTATTGAGAAAAAAATAATTATTATTTTTTTAGGTTTTTTTAGGTATTAGTAATTGAAAGATCATCATTCGCGAAGGTTTAATATTTCAATTTTTTATTCTTCGAAATCTTATAGTTCTAATAGTTCTGAATCGAAACTATAATTCTAACTATAAGTGTCATATTAAAATATTTTATTCTACACATTTTATTCGTTTTTAGATATAATATGGCCCTGCTATTTATTGTACCACTCTTTATGGGACATTCTGTAAATACTCAGTAAAAAGTAATTATTGAATAATTTATAATTCCCCAACTGTAGTGATAGCATCCCTCTGCCTAGAGCAAGATAAAATAGGAAAAAAACCATCTTCTCTTTTATAAGCGACGTTGTACCAATTATCCAAACCTATGGCAAACCATTTGTTTACGCAGTTGCGAGAAATCCAAGATCATGTCCTTGAATCCTGCGGCATCGAAATATCAAGTGTCTTCGGTATAATGATCTATAAGCTAACGATTAGTGAAATAATGGCTAAATAACTATATAACGCTTCGATCCGTATCACGCACGGCTCGAATATCACGTGTGTACGAGGAACAGAACAAGATCCATTGTCATCTCGCGGAGGTCGCAACGAGGGAAAAGTTCGTGCACTTTTCCTCGCAGAATCGAATTTCCTGTTGCCAGTGTGTGACGTAGGTTTGGTGTTCCAATAACAGGAGTCCCCATACATAGTCGGTTCTATTGATTTTTCGTAGAGGCGCAAGCGCTATTCGGTTCTTATCTGGCAAAAGGGAGGCGCGGCTATAACCATGGATCCCAGTGTACTAGCTAACATGGACAAGGACGCATTGAAGAAGCAGATCGAGAACATGAAGTACCAAGCTGATATGGAACGGTGGCCCCTTTCGAAGAGTATTGTCGCGTAAGTCCATTAACCCCTCTTTTTCGTCCCACCTTCGTCGATTGTTTCTCCAATTTTTTCTTATTTCCGCTTCCTTTTTACGGTTCTATTGTGTCACCTTATTTAGTAGACAATGATACGACCAGGATGGTCCACGGAAAGTTTCGTGTTACGCGTCCAACAACCCCATCTGTCTCATCCTATATTCGTCAATTATTCTTGAAATTTCAGTTGCGTTTTTTCATTTTGCTTCTTGTTTCGTTTGATACACTGATTAACGCATGATGTTGTTTCCTATCTATCTTTGTTATCGTAGAAATCTATCGGTCAGTATAAGTAGCTGTCCTGTTTCACCTCATTTCTTGTTTTATCGTTGTTCGAGTAATAGGTTGAATTTTTTTGTTCAATTTTCCCGATGGACTGTTCCGTCCTTTCAACGAATTTTTTATGTATTTAATTATTCCTTGTTTACTTATTATGCCGCATTTTCTAGGCTGAATAGTTCATCTTGTATTTTCTTTATCTTTTGGGTATCATAGAAAGAATGTCCTGTGAAATGATTCATTATTTTTTGATAGGTTGCATAGATGAAGTTAAAAAGGATTCAGGATTTAGACAATATTTTTATACAAGACGCGCAGAGTAACTTCTTTGTACCATTCTGCAGGCTACAATTTAGTAAACATACCGAACTTTTTAAATAAATAATGTACTAAAAGATACAGAAACATTTTACACTGGGAAAAGTGAATCGTATGAGGATTTTCTAAAAATTGCACACAATATTAATGAAGAAGTTTTAATAGTCAAAACCACATTCCTATTTGCATTTGATATGTATTTTATGATATTGTTTGGAAGATTAGTTGTACTTCAAATGGCTCTATCATAGCCAAATTTAATAAACGTATGATACATAATGACGTGACACGATATTTAAGGAAACCGTATGTCTGAAATTATTTTTAATTTAAATTTAAGACGGATTAATCTAGAACAGCATCCAGTAAACAATGTTCCATTCAAATGACCCAAGTGATTTTGTGTTATATTTAGCATTTCTTTCGAAGTTATTTTTAGCTACGAAGGTATTCATAACACATACATACATCGTGTAATACATAAACAGTGTGATGAAGATTGTGAAGAGCAAATCATTTTTATTTTCTGACCTGTAAAATTCAGTTCAGACATTCGAAAATCTACTAATTATATACAATACAATACGTTTTACAATACATATATTCCTAGTAGCTTTGTAATTGATTCGAGATCCTCTTTCTTTCAATTCATTTTCTCGTTTGTCTTCAATATTTAAAAAAGGCGTTCATAATACAAAAGAAAAATAATGATTATTCATACTATTTAGGAAAAATTACCATAGTTATCACAAGAAATTATTAATATGGCATTGTAATCGTTTTAATCATATTTGTTAAATTTACAATTATTTTAATGTCATAGTATCTATATATCATTTATAACAAATTGTTTTAAATACTTCGAATCTTTTTATCAAGCATCTTTCACATTCTTGCACATATTCGTTTATTCGAATTCATGTTTGCTTCCATGTAAAAACTGTTTCCTTCTTAAAATTCATATGGCGTATTCCAAAGTCCTCGAAAAACTTTAGAAGCTGGACGAGACGGACAATTTTGTTGGTATTTTACTGACTTTGATAATTAATCAAAAGAACTTGAATGGTCAAGAAAACGATTATGAAGACTTTTGCAGCAGAAAACCTTGCAATAGTAAACGCAAAAGCTTGCAGTCTTTCGTATCGACATTATCATTGAAACTACCGAGAATATGAATGCTGTTGCTAATTATTTTATAATTTTTTTTCTTTGTTCGTCAACTTGCTTTTGTCAGATTACTTGGGCGTATCTGTCGAGTCGTTAGGTGTCAGGAAAATTGATTTAACGATCAACAGGTTGAAAGTTAGTAATATATATCTAATGAAAAATGGAAAGTAAATTGGATAAATAAGTTATAGTACTTTTGTGGAAAGAATATTTGTATTGTGACGAATTTATAATATTAGAATGGAAAATGTTATCTGTATAAAATTACGCTGAGATAAGAAAGGAATTTTGAATATTATTTCATGCGTTGATTTGTCATTTTCTGCGCTAATTAATCTTAGAATTCCAAATTTGCACAAAAAAGATAGGCGATTATCGACGAATACTATTTTCAATATTATTTTACATTATACTAGGATATTAGGTCAAATCAATATTAGTAATTCTGCTGTAATGAATTCAGAATCCTTCAGCTGCTATGAGTACTTGATGCTTAATCGATTCTCTTCATTTTGGAAATTCATTCTTGTAACATATTAATACTTTATAGTTTAATGTCAAACGTCTAGAATCCTTCGTTCATAGATTACATACTGCCATCTGATCCTAAGACTTTTCTTAATTAGTTACTTCTCGAACTATCGTGTTTCTTTGTCTCGACGCTGAATTGGTACTTATTAGTGCTGTTTTGCATGTATAGTTATCCATTCCAAATTATAAAGATTTATAAGTTTTCAAAACAAATGCAATTAGGTTTAGAAATAAAACGATATCATCATAAAGAGGTAATTAACAATTCCGTAATTATTTAAAAGACAAGGTATCAAATCTATGTATTTTACGATTTTCTGATGAAACACTGTTACATTGATTTTTCTTGGAAAAATAAAGTCTTCTCATTTACTCTTCTCACGATTACCGAATTCTTTGTAAATATGTAAGAAATTCTCGATTGCTTACATTTAGAAGAATCGTATATTTATTTCTTCTGTACTCGAGAACAAAAGCTGTTCATATAATTTACATTTGCTTTAAAAAAGAAATACAGTTTTTCCATTTATTTGCTTCTTCCGTGTATTGGTTTTTATTGTAACCTCTGGGTTGTTCATGATACTTGAGATATTATATTGCGATAAAGTGGCAACTCAGACGGTGGTTAAAAAAACAAATCGAACGACGTAGTATTGATCGAGTCATGTTGAACCGACTCGAACGAAACAATCGTCGCGGTGTCGTATAAAAATCGTTCGGACAAAGTGATCATAGAAGCAGTTTCCTAGACGAATCGAGAAACGCGACACGTATAGATAGTGTAGATGACGACGTAATCGGTGTGGCGTGGCGCGGTGTGCCGCAACATGCTGCTAGTAATCGACAGTCAAGGTTAAATTACACCGACGTTCCCATATTACACGTTGGGACAGGATCTCCTTGGACGTGGAGTATCTGTTAATCGCATATTCGTGGACTGATCACTTTTAGACGCTCGCAATGTGCATACTTACATACCAGCTGGTTCGTACAAACGAATTAATTGTATCAAAGTTGTAGGAGTTTTATATGTTAATTATCTTCCCTAATGTGATAGAAAGGCGTAATTTTCGGATAGTCCCACGTCATGAACGAAGATGTAAGAAGATGTGAAAACCATAGGAGAAAATGTGATATGTAGATCCATCTTTGTTGATCTTCTGATTCTTATATTATGTTAGTTGAAGGAGACTACCTCGGATTGGAAAAATTTTATTAAAGAGAGAGGACGTTTTACGTGTACGTTACAACTGAATGGATACATACTGCACTGTATTATAAATTCATTCTGCTTTTATATTTACTACTAGCAGATATTTATGCAAATTTACATCTTTATGGGCACAGTTACGAAGAACGGAGCTTAAGCGCAGCGTGTTCTATACAATATCCGTATTATGTGTATTCCGTGTACCATTGCATCCTCAAATTTCCCATAAATATATCAAAATCCGTAGTCTACCACCTATTGCACAATACCCACAACCTTGCGTTATATCTTTGCCTTGCCAGTGGCAGCGGCTAGTAGAAAATATTCTTTATTTCTTTATACGTTTAAAATTTGCCAATGATTCCTTTTAATGACGATAAATTTTTACCTAAACGACTGCTGACGTGTAACTTCTACGATGTATGTAACATTAACGATCGTACAGTCGGTAAAGGATCTAAAAAACCATATTACATCACCAATCGGATATGTTACACTCTAGTACAATAACATAGACAGCTATTTTAATTAAAAAGGTCTCAGGCAAATCGACAAATAATAAGTAAATAAGGATAATCTTGCTTATATATCGATCTTGGTTCGTTCGAGTGGACACACACAATTAATCGAATATTCCTCTGAGGTCTAGAGGCTGTAATGGCGACGCGCACCTAATGAGACACACGTTCAGTGTTCGATAACATATGGGAAGTTGCACAGCGTTGCGGAACGAACGCGGAACCGCATTCGAGCAACGACGTTGCTCGTTGCGGTTTTCGAGGGGAATCGTACGCGAAAGCAAAAAGTTTCCGCGGTCTGCTACTCGGAGAGTGCCCGAGTGAAAGGTACCTCCCATTTTTTTCTTCCTCTCTTACCGATCGAGCTAATCTCTCGCTCACCGTCTTGCACTTAACGCCGGGCATTCTCCTCTTTCAAACGTGGTGCGCTTTTTCCCTTCGCGCGCTTTGAAATTCCTTGGAAGGAACAGTATTTTCCGTGCCAACTACATACAACGTATATTGTATACAGCGACTCATAAAACTATTCGAACGCTTACCATAGCAAATTTTTACGTACACACGGTATATACAAAGAGTCTTTACACGTATCCTTAGTTTCTAATGAAATGATTTTTCATGAGGTCCTGCGAAATTTTTATAGAAATTTAATATACTTGAAGCTAATTAATCAGTATATAATTCCTATAATAAACACAGTGGCGTGCTAGTACTTTTTGCAGCCACTGTATTATGTGTATTACATAAAACGTCTTCACAAGTTTCATTTATATCGTAGCGAGTTACGACTGTGAATGATTTTATTCGTGAAATTTGGAACGAATCTGAGAATTGCTGTAGAAATTACAGGGTACTTACTATTAACATGTATTTAGTAAAAAGTTAATGTACAATATAGAAAGCTGACTGTGTTCGTAAAACTTTTCTATGCCAAACATTCCGGATACTTTCGCGAAGCATTATACTTGTGAAACTTTGCTCTTGTGGTACATAGGAAAAGTTGGTTTTGTATCGTGTATTAGCCTTATCTAGTAGGGATACTTATATTGTATATCATAGTCGCTATTAGAATTTCATACAGTGACTTACTATAGGCAATGTAGTCGACTATAAACGCTAATGGCCTGGATTTAACACCTACCACTTTTATCGATATAATGAAGCTCTGATTGATTCAGAAGATAATAGACTTCAAAAAGAAATTAATACTCTAATTGTTTCGAATTCTAATTTGCTATTTGCTATTGTAAGATGCATTGTAAACAAGCATTTATTCTTCCTTTTTGGCTGAGAGATACCGAACCAAAAACAGTCGCAGTACAGTAAAATAAGAAACTCTGAGTATCATATATTGTACAGGTATTTATACGGTGGTGAGCATCCCACTTTATGGAGGTTGGTACAAGGGGAAGCTAGAACCTTATGGTAAGAGCAAGATGTGAAAATATGGAAGAAGGAAATAGGTATTGGAGAAAGGAGCAGGACACACTGTGTAGGATATACCGAAGGAATATATATAACGATAAAATGCTTAGTAGAGAACTATACAGGTGTGCAAACAGTAAATTTAAACGTGGAAAAAGTTCTGTACGATAGAAGGGAGTAACGCGTGGTGGAATGGTGGAAAGGAGCAGCATTGTAGGAATGAGGAAGGAAAAGGACGAGGGCGGGAGAAAAGAAAAGCAGATGCAATGAAGTAGAGGATAAATGGAGGGATTAGGATAGTTCTAAAGCGAATAGCAGAGGCTAGAGTAAGGAGTAAGCGTTCGAAATAGAGTCATCTGAATAGAGTTAGGTGGATAAATGTTATGAATGGAGTTATGGAAGGATGAGAAAGACGAGTGAATAATTGTACGGGTATGTGTGTTGAGTAGAAGACTATGTAAACCAAGTTCACATTTCCTAGGCTATGAGGCTGAAAATTAAATAAATTATTAATGCTAGTCCATTTTCGAAAAATATTATAAAAACTACTTAAAGAATGTGAAAAGGAACGTATTTGAATTTTTTTCATAAAAGGTATAAAATAAAGAAATAGAATGAAAAAGTTACTCTTTAACTAGGTAGATTTTATACGAATAACGTTCGACGTTCTTTTAAGGAAACGTGAATGAATGTATTACTCAACCTAACAGTTTAATAGAACAGAATACGTAAATGTAATATAGAAAGTATCTAATAAATATGAAATATCTATATGAGTCAGTATTGACCCAGTCTTTGCTGCCTGGGAGTTAAACGAGCTTTTACATAGAATTTAATGTCTCCAAACTTGATACATTGAAGTTGATAATATAGTTTATATTATAGGGTTTGGATGCATGTGGAAGTCTAGAAACTATGTTGTGAAAGTTGTAGAAATTATTTTCTATCATAATGAACGGGGGTCCTTTAAGCGTAATAGAATGATGTGCTTGGTAAGATATTTAGATCTTAATAAATAGAAAATAATAATAATTCATTCATCTCATTCACCTATCTTAGGAAGCAATTGACAAAGTTTAATAATAATTTGACAATTTTTAAATAATCTTGAATAATACGATTATAAGATTTTAACATAAAACAGTTTTCTAAAATAAGCATTGAAAAGTTACTTGTGTAAGTAGTAACAGGTCATTAACCTACATTCGTTTCTAATAAAGAGCGATAAGTGAAAGCTTATAATTTTCTCGCATTTTCCGCTAAGCTGCGGGTTAACTGGAACAGGAGATTCTTATTATTATAACTATTACTGATTTACTGATACTACCGACTAATACAACCGATTCATTAACAGCTTTGCTTGAATGTTCTAACATACACAGCATACCGCATATAATACTAAAAATAATAATAAGCATACCACAGAGTTAAGTAAATTAAAGTAGAAACTACTATGTGTACAAAAATTATTTACTACCGTTAATTAATTATATTATTGACCATTGCTGTGTTTTAGAACACGTACGATACTTTTGGATATTTTTTTAAAAGAATGATACCTAGTTTTAAGATTAATTTTTTCATGATTCAGAATAAATCCTTTACAATGTCCTGCCTATTCAACTAAAATAATTCCATTACCATTACATAATCCCTACTGTATCTCGATACCAGATACATAATTCAAATCTTTCCCCCTGTAGCTCATCAACTTGAAAAAATCGTGCTGGAATTATAGTTGCGATTGCATCTAGACATAGGACGACCTGCTTTATTCAACGACATAGCTGAAGAATTCGTGCCGTATCCTTTCAACTTATTCTTTGCGATCAGATAGATTCAAGATAACGTTGGATATCTGGAGATCAGTGCAAACAACAGAGCGCAATAGAAAGTGCTATAAATTCATTTTAATCAAGAAATCTGAAACTATTGCAAAAGGCATTATCAGAAAGTTAAGAAAAATTTTTAAGATATCGTTGCGATCGATAAATTCTCAATAAAGACAAATTTCAAAAATAATTTGCAATAAATAATTTCTAAACCAATAATTGTAACACCCCTATAAGAATAAGTTTACATTGTTCTACACTACAATTTCTAGATACCCACCTACTACGATACTTTTTAACTTTTTGCAAAGCCTTAATGTTTCTCTGATTCTTTTTATTTTAAGGCGAATTGATTAGGCCGACGTCATAAAGCATAGTTGCACGAATTGAATTAGATTTTATCGAAGTTGCTTTATCTACAGGTATTTAGCGAGAAAATCGGAAAAATTGGTCGATCGCGATTGAGCAGTCGCGAACCTTCGGAACACAGAATTCTCCTTGAACGCAAAATCGGCCAGACTGGCCGCGAGTCCCTTTCACCGAGCCTTCTCGGCGAAACGACCAACTATTCGTACCTCGCTGCACTTTTCCTTGCATCGCTTGCAACCTTGTTACGTTTACAACGATCCTGTATCTCGTCAACGTGTTCTCCTCAGGCACCTGGAAATTTACTTGGATTTTGTTCTTTCCTGAAAATATCATATTTTAAATACTTATTAGATCAAATATATTTCGAACGAGATATTCGAATTAATGTTTTATATAATCTGTTGATTGAAATTTCTTTTAAAATTGAAATTACAAAACTAGTCATTTTTCAGGATATAATTCGTAACGAAATTGATCAAAATTGATATACAGTCAATAGGTAGAGTCGTAACCAATATGCATTGATAATGTAACTGTTGCATAATGATAATGTAAGAATTATGTAATGGTGATATGGGAATAAGATTGATCACTGAACGTGTACGTAATCAACAAGTAATTGGTCGTTAAATCGACAATCATAAACATGTTAGAAATATCATCATTAAATGCATAATATATCGTAACACCTTTTAGTATAAACAATTGTCTGCAGCTTTTCCCAATCGATTCTTTTTAATTTCTTACTTCTTCGCAAGAATTTCTGTATTGAACTGTGTTGTAGCTTAGTTCAACATAATTTGCCTTTTTATTCGAAACCATTCCATCAGAGGTTGCAAATCGTTGATATTTCTTCATTATTTCGCGCTCTTTCGTTTTTAGTCTTGTATATTCAATTATTAATAAATATTTCGTTTTTTTCGATTCCTAGAACCATTCAACGTTCTCGTAAGAGATTCCACCTTCAGCGATAGTCGAAAATATAAGCGAACGAACACAACTGAATCAAAAGAAAACTTGATCTAGTAGACGATCTGCTTGCTTCCAGGATGAGGGAGTATGTGGAAGAGAACGAGAAGACTGACCCACTGATACACGCGCCCGACAAGAAGAACAATCCCTGGGCCGAGAGAGGCAAATGCATAATCATGTAATCAGGACGTAGAACCGCAGGGGAGAAGGAGAAGGAGAAGAGGCGAGGAAGCATCTGAGCGAATACCATCCGAAGCGAGCAGGAGAAGCGGAAAACGTTTTAGCCGCGTTTCAAGTTAAACCAGCGAAACGAATAATAAAACCAAAAGAACGAAGCAGACAAACTAAAATAAAAAAAAAAAAAACAGAAAGACGAGGAATACATACACGTAAAAGAAGAAAAACGTAAAAAAAAAAGACAGAAAGTAAGAAGAGGAAGGAGTTAAAGAAAGGATAAGAAAGACGTATGACGAATGGGAAGGAATTACGATGAGCAAAAGAAGAAGGACAAGAGGAGAAAGAGAAATTAGGCGTTGGCGGAGCGATTTGGATGAAATCCTGGAAGAGGAAGGTGCCAGGAAAGCAGCAAAGTCTCGGAAGGAGGAGCACGACTGGCGCGAAGCGAAATCAAAGTAGCCGGAGCAAATTATTCAACAATCTAATTCCTCGCGGTTACCTGTTCGCGGTAACTTTCCCGTTTGGCATGCAAACGAACGAGTGGCACGTTTCAGCCCGGCTTTCTTTGTCTCTCTAATCTCCGCGGCTCTCGAATTGACTACTCGAGCTATTCTGAGGACGTGGTCCTTGATCTGGCTAAGTTTCGATCGATTCGCACGACGGCGAACCGAGACGCGAAAAGTATCGTGTATCGATATTAATTGGTTAAACTTTCACCTCGTGCGTCTATCGCTCTCTATTTCTCTCTCTCTCTCTCTCTCTCTCACTCTCTTCAGCCTCTTCATCCTTCGTTTCCTTCTTTTCGAAGGGCCGCTCCCTTTCTCTCGGAATAAATGGATTCCCTCTGAGTGAGCTCGATCTAATCTATCCGAGGATTTTAGAAAAGCAAGGCTACGAACGAAATGGTACGGACACGGTGAAAATTTAATCGATCTAAGAGGACTAGACGAGAGAGCGGGCGAAACGGCGCGAAACGAACGGATCTTCTGAAACGGGCTCCGCTACGAGTACGCGCTTCCGCTTCGTCGTCGTTTCGAGTTCCGAGTTTTGGATGAGTTCTGAATAATATCGGTTCCAATTCGACTCAATTCGTTTCGATTCGATCCAATCCGTTTCGACTCGGACATGTGTTACGCGTCGTAATACACATCATGTGCAATTCGAATCTAGTACCACGGAAAACTCTTTTGAATCGTTCATTATATCGTGTAAGGATTATTTATCTTAAGTACACAATGTAATCTAACGTCATTATATGTACACACGTTATACCATATGTCGTACGATTAATACGCTATGCATATTTCTGCGAATTTCTTACGAAAATATAATATATTCACATCGTTTAATGGAGATTATTGTATGCTGTTTCGTCCTGTTCCTTTACATCGGGCATTAGTTTCTGTCGCGTGCTTTCGTAATCTAGCGTTTCTTCAGAATTTATAGAAACGTTTTTATTTTGCAAAAGAACGGTAGTGTTTTCTACCTTTTAATTAAGTTAGTTAATTCGACGTTTCCGAATTGGTCATCGTAAAGTTTAATCGTATTCGTTGGTTATTTGATTAAACTCGTGTTTATTTTAATCACTGTGGTAGATACGTCGTTGCTTCAAATAAGTATAGCGTTAGGTAAATGCAAGGTGTTTCATTGTTCGTGAATATCTTGAATATTTTTGACATTTATGAAGATGTGAAAAGTCTCTGAAGCAAAATTATACGACTCGAAGTAATAAGATGTCTGCTCATTTAAAAATTTTTATAAAATGATAATTTTGATATTATTATACGTGTTTCATCATCTAACCCGCGCGATTTCATTGTTAAACATTTTTCCATATTTTTAGCAGATATTCAAGAATTTATGGCGAATGAAATATCTTGCGTATTTAAACAAATAATTTCACAGACTTTTATTCCTAATACATATTTCATTAACATCGTATGTACATTAATCTAACAATCATTTTTATATGATGTTCTATTTTAATTAATCTCGATCGTCACTAATTTTAGAAAACAAGAGAAAACAACAGCGATAAGCTTAAAAAGTTGGAAACTTCTCCACCAATAAATTAGACCAACACCGATATTTATAAATACATCAGACAAGATTGCGGATATACTCCGTAATTTCTAAATTCAATTCCCTAAGAAAAATGAAGTATATCATTGAATAACTCTTTCTTCGAACGATCCATTGCTTTTTCCTCCAATTTAATTGTACCACGAATGACAATTTTGCATAGCTAAGACTGCCAAAATGTATGCTTAACAACAAAACACACGGATAATTATAAAGTCTATACCCTAAAACAGATCATAAGAAAGAAAACTTAAAAATAACACGTTTCACGGTGCAGTGTACAGTATTAATTCGTACCAATTTCCTTTGTAATTTGTAAACGGAATTTATAATGTTATTAAAGCAATTTTCATTGCAGGGACCATCCTGTATGTACCACAGACAGATAAAACAAAAATAAAGTATCGTAAACGCCTAACTCGAATTCTCTCGAGGGTTGTTCAAAACCACAAGAAACTGCCGAAGAATACACCGTGGAGATGCGATTCTGCTGAACGGCCATTGACGTGGCCCGTGATTCTTCGCCCACGATATTCTGTATCGATTCTGGCGTTCATTGTTCAACAACCGTTTCCACTGTCGATTACCAAGCAAACCTCTTAAGCTCGCTCGCGCAGGAAAACTTATCTTCAGCCCTGAAACGTCTGGCGAACGAGGCCGAGATTCCTTTTGGAGGAGGTGTTGCATTTCAGAAATGTGTTTACAACAATGTAGCTACGTATTTGTAAAAATGATGGATGAGAAGAAGAGAACGAAGAAAAAAAAAAAAGCAGAAAACGAGAAAGGAGATTGTATTTTCGTTGGGGTACAATGTCGAATTATATCGTTGTGTCATCGAATAAAACGCGTGTGAAGGATGAAAAGAGGAACATAATGAAAAATTACTTTCACTTTTTACTACATGCAAGAAGCCTTATGGATAGCTGCTTGGCTTTCCAACAATTAATAATTATCGAGGATATGCTTTGGTCACGGTATTTTATTTCGATATCGTCTTCCATGAAACGTTCTAAACGATGTGGGCGATTAATAAAACCGATGGTGATTTCTTCCTAGAGAATGCACGATAATTATTTCTCTACGTGTTTGTACTTGTAGGAGACGTTAAGAAAAAATCACGTGGCCCATCCGTTTGCACGAGGAAAGAAAGATTTATTGTTAGCAAATGTGTTCGAAGGTTAATATCTATTGAAATATAAGTGATAACGAATATAAAATATTTTATGATTCGTTTGTTATCGGTGTACGTACTTTTTTAATTGGTACCATAGTTTCTTATCTTGGAATATGAAGAAGGAACATTGTGATACGTAATTTAAGCCTGAAAATATTTCTTCGTTAATTTTTATTAATGAACTGCTAATAGATAATTGAGGAAGAAGATATTTGTTTTGAATGTTGAATCATTAATCACTTAATAGCATCAAAGTGTATTAAATCGCTATATTAATATGTTGAATTATTAGAAAATTGTAAAAGATGATAAAAGTATATCGGATATTCCAGTTTGTAGGTGTATTTGTTGAGACATAATTTAAAATCATTCAAATTCTTCGAAATAAGTCAAATTGTTCGTTTTTCATCATATTATATGTAGGATTCATAAGAAAAAATAAATGTAATGAAAATATACATTTTTATTCATAAAATTAAAGAATTATTCATGAAATTTCATTAAAATCTCTACAAATGAGAAACGAATTTCAGATCTAATACTCTATCTATCTTTCATATGAATGAAACACATACGCATACAATACTTCTTGGTTTTAATGGTTTAAATAATTAAAACAAAAGATTATCTTATCTCCAAACTTTAATTAACGCTTTTTGAGACGTTTCTAGTATGTGATCTATTACCAAATATTTATCAAACTTATGCACCTGGCTGAGGATTAAACATCCAGAAATTCTGTGTAATTAACTCATGGGACCGGTTATTTTACCGCTATGCTTAGAATATTTTGCCTTAATTAGTGATAGTCCATCTAGTTTATATGCAACGATGTTCCATCTTTATAGTAAATTTGGTCGTATTTAAAAGAAATTTCTCGTGAAAGGTTAATGTGGTAGGAAAGTCCAATTAAACAGCCTCCATTTCTAGATTTGAATCTCCTTAATTGTATGTATATGTCATGAATCTTGTGTAGGTTCCTTATTAACTAGTATTTTTCAAGAGTTATGACAAAGTCCGGGTATCAGGACAAAGTTATAATTATAAATTATTACAAAAAGATTACTTACAATGCTTTCTAACAAAAAGGAGCATGTAATGACTTCCTTGCAAGAAAAGAAAATGAATAACTAAATATGCATATCTTCATTATCATAATACAGTATAATATTTAAAATAATGCATTCATTTATCGAAGGGAAACTTTATAGATATGCTCGGAAGTTTTGAGTGGCAGCATTTTCAAAAATGAAATTAATTTTTTATTGTCTGATAAATAACATAGGACAATGGCGATAAAATTTCGTTTTACTCAGTCAGTTTCTATAGAATTGTACCAAGCAAGCTTATCGCATACCTTATTGTATCATTGATTAACATCGATGATCGATACTATTTCCTCCGCAGTGCCATTTTGCAACGCGTGTTAGAATATTTTCATGGCAATCAACTGTTAAGCATAAATTCAAGAGCCTGACTTTCAATATTTTCTCATTATGCACATTGCGATATAAGGATGTTATTTGATATTATTATGAAACATTTAAACGATCGTCATTCGGATAAAACATATCTCGAATATTACAGATATATTATTTTGTAAAGCTTCTACAGTAACAAACAACATTTCTATTGTAGAGCAGATATTGAAATCACAATTTTTTAACGTTTTCAGTTAACTTACGTATAAATATTAAACTTAATTATAAGAAGAAACACTAGAAAAGTCTACTTTTACGTTGCAATTAAGTTTTGGAAATTAATTTACCTATGAAATGACGAACTTACATCAATGTTATAATAATTCAAATATTCGTATTTATTGTTATTTTCTACTATATAGATAGATATAAATGTCTAATATGTATATCGATGAAGTAACGGTATGGAAGCCTTCAGACGCCCGGTTAATTAAAGGTACTCTTTCATTTACGCGACAGGTAAAAATGACATCTAGGATGAACAATCACCTTCTCGTTGCAGCCGTTCCTTTTCGTGGAGGACACGGTGCATTATGTTTTCTTTTGATTAAGGATATTCCCATATAAGCTTTCAACGTGTTTCAGCGAATGAGGCGACAAAAGAATTTGAAGAAAAAGGCGAGGACAGTGGAAATTCGTCCTAAATACGAGACCCCTTTTCAAAACAGTCAATTGAATAGTGAGAATGACAGCGGGTAACAATTTCTTTCGCGTTTTGTACGCTAGCTGTTTCTTCTTACAATAATGAGAATATTTGACAGAAACGACGTATGTGCATGTGCCTGCGTCGCGTGTGCATATGTAGCGTATCCTTTCCAAGATTTAACATAAAGATAATGTGGGACCGAGTGAAATTCTGTTGTAACTGTCGCTATTTCTTGATCGCCTGTTTGCTGATTTTATACGAATGCGCTCTGTAAAAGTTTGCGCTCTGCGCGTTCCTGCATTCGGTATGCTGCAAGTATATATTTCTTGGTTGCAACAACGCGTCTTTTCAGATTACGGAGTATTGCATCACGAAGGAATGTTGAATTAAAAAGTAATGTTTAACGCGAAGCTTGACAACGAGTTGATCGAGATTGAGTTAAATCGCGCCTTTCTTTCTAAATCTGATGAAAACTAAAGTTCGTTTTTGTACGATTCTATTCTTAACATGTGTCGTATCTCTCCCCTTAATTGCAATTAAGTAGTTTGGTAGAGGTGAAAATTATGGGATGATAACGATTAATAGAAATCTTTAGATGGTTTCCCAAATTTATTTTATCCATGTCCTAGAAAGTTCGAAATTATACGAATCTTCCGTCTATATTTCTACAACCAAGAAAACTGGTTCGCAAATCCTACGACCCATTTCTTACTACGGTTTTTATCAACTGAAGCATTTTCTGATTACAAAGATTAAAAGCCACATAATTATAGTTTACTGATACAATAGTCGGAGAGATATTGTTAACCAAAGTTATAAAAACTGTATAGTTCATTTATCAATCTATTTTTGGAATCATTAATCGTACGAATATTTATTCGAAAAAAATGTTGATTTTACTCGAGATTTATAGTAATGAAGATATGTGACGTACAGTGTCATAATATTTCATTCAAGCACGATACCATGCAAAATTATACATATATAATCGTGTGACGATATAATTTATGTCGTAAATCAAACCATATGCAAGAGAAGTTTTGACAGAGGTGAAAATCATGGGATGGTAAAAGTTAATAGAGATCTTTAGGTGGTTTCCTAAACTTTATCCATGTCCTAGAAAGTTCAAAGTTATAGGAGTCATTCGTATATATTTCCACAATCAAGAAAACCGGTTCGCAAATTCTACGGTCCACTTCTTACTGGAAGCAAGAATCTGATTTGCGCAGTTGAATCTGATTTACGAATAGTTTCATGATAGATCAATCGCTATATTAGAAATAGAGACATTCCTATCCTTCGGAGACCTAATCGTTTTCATTTGTAAATGAAGAAAGTGAAAGCATTCGAGTGAACATTCAATTGATCGAAATGATTTGTTTCAAAGTATAATAAGCAAACGAACAGGTGGAGCCTTTTCTTATCTTTTTGACAACAATTTTTTTCGAATTTCGTCACTTGAGAAGAGAAAATTCGATACTCCAATTGTTTGAAACTGCAACAAAGAAACAAAGTCGTTTAGAAGTTTTATGCAGATAGTTATTAAATAAAAGTCATCAAAATTATTAATTAATAAAATACGAAATTATTAAACTTCGTTTCATAATATATCGTACAATTGCATCACGTAACTTCGAATTTTCTTATGACGAGTGAGGAGGAAACGATTCTAAAATCGAATTAGGCAAACTTCCAAGTAAATTATTATATGAACGACAGCCACTCGTTTTCATGCCCGAAAAGGAAGTCGGAAAAGGAAAGGACTTTGAACGGATAAGTTACGTTTGTGGTGTTCGATCGAATAGCGTAGGGAAGGTTCACGTAGCATAGGTTGGGAAACGCTGTTCTAGTCGGCCGATGTGGATCGCTGGATCGCCGTTTCACTCTCGCGTTCCCATTTACCGAGCAACCGATTGAGCCCTGTTGTCAGCGTCAATGCGTTGCCAATATAAACGAGAATTACCTGTCAATCCAACACTGATCTATATCCAATACCAACCGAATAATTATTATGATAAACACTGATACGTATGACGCTTAAACGGTAGATATTTTCCCAATCTATCGCAAAAATAACAGTTGTTAGAATCTGATAAACCACAATTAGTCGCAAGTTAAGTCATTCATGGAATCTTAACCCTTTGAAGTTGGATATCGCGGTATTCAAAATTTGTTTTCACACTGTAAATATCTATCATTTCGAGTAGTCGGTACCACGAGAAAAATCTGCCAATCACAAAGGGTTAAACATTTCCTTTCAATATCTAATCTAAACCGTTCCGTACATTATACTGTGTATGTTTATAGGTATATACATGTGTGTAGATATATATGTATATACTTAGAGCACGCATAGTCACTTACTGTACACAAAATGAAAGGTGGCTTTAATTGTCGCCGCGGCTACCGAGGACAATGTTCGTCTACGATATCGTCTGCCCCTGTTGCGAAAATTTTCGTGCGGCTTTTGAATACCGGGCTGAAAACGCGTGTGTGCAAAAACGATGGAAAGGAAGGGTTGTGGGGGCAGCTACTATCGAAACAGCCTGATCGTGATTGTGAGTATTCCTCGAGGAAGGGGGTTCTTCCTTCCTCCGTTGGGAAAGAAAAAGAGAGTTGGAACGAGCTGACTAGAAACAGACAGCAAGAGAGTGAGAAAGAAAGGGAGGAGGGAGAGAATGACAGGAGGCACTCGTTCACTACGGTCAGTGCTTTCTGAACTGTTGTCAGTGACAGTTCCTCGATCATGTGGCGGTGGATCCTCGATCACTGATTCTCCTATCGATTACGTTTTTCCTTTTTCTATCATTCGTTTCCGTTCACGGACTGAGTTTCGCCGCATTTCACACACGCTCTTCTCGTGTATAGTTTCGTTCGACCGCGCCTTGTCTTGTTTTTACTCATCCCCTTCTTCGTGTCTCGTCGATATTGGTGCTACTTTCCACGTTCGGAGCGTCACGCGTGGCTGGAAAAACTGGACGAATCATGGTAAGTGGAAACGTGCGAGCTCCGAATCTGTTTGTTATCGTGTTTATTTGAGAGTAGAGAAAAAAGAGAAAGAGAGTTTAATAGAATTGGTAAATTGGTATCGCTGATACCAATGTTGTATAACATGTTGTTGTTAAGAAAAAGTCGATATCCGATCATTTTTTGTAAGTTTATTCGCATTCACCAAAGTAACAAAATCGTGATTAATCGCCAGGTCTACGTCGTATCATATGTAGAAAATTCGTGGACGGTTTGACAGAATTATTTTGGTAAATTATATAATACTATTGATACTAATTTTCTACAGTATAGTAAATTTTAACGAAGATTTTATTTTACCCTATCAGACTTTAACGCGTAAGTTTCTAAAGCAATTTTCGTAAATTGATTCACGTTTGTCAGAATCAAGAGATTAGGTTGAATTCCAAGTTCTTCTCACTTTATCTTGTTAGAACGAGGATCGACTTTTTAATCAAGTTTTTATAAATTTATTCACATTTATCAGTAATAAAAGAATCGAGATTGGCTATTAGGCTCACGGTATTTCGCAGGCGATTTCTGAAAAAATTGCTCATGTTTTTGCAAAATCTTTTCCTCCATCCTTTTTCTCTGATCGAATCGGCTCCGTTTTCAAACTCGTTTTATTTTTCATTCGAACGATATTACATCATGCGCGGATTCATGCAAGACCACCGTGGAACCGGTCTGAAAAGAGATCGATTCGGAAAGGATTAAAACAGACATCGAGATCTCGACGAAGTTGTGTTATTCATTTTTCTTTCTCTTGTCCTTCTTCTTGCATCAATGACCGGACCAAATTATGGCAGAATGATTTTTTGGACATTTAATCTAGTGATCTCTGTTTGAAGATTTCTAGCAAGTGTTTGATATCATGATACATATGGATCGTTTGAAAGTACGCGCAACTCTCATATTCAAGCACAGAGAATAACTATTAATGGTTCTATTTATTCTACTTAAATAATACGATAATATAATATTGATTATATGTGTGTAATTGCGTGTAATGTCGTGTGATTTTGATTATATATGCGTACAGTGTGAAAAATAGTAAAAGAGTTTGCCGGTCGTAAATGTTGACAAACTTTGCTTTTACCAAGTTTTATATTAGGCGAAGTTTCAGTTTATTAATTAGAAGTAAAAGAGCAAACTTAGTGACTATATGGTGATGACGGTATAATAGTGCAATGTTAAATTACAATAATACAGTGATAAAACAGAAAGCGAAAAACTTATAAAATGCAGATGCATAAATATATAACCTTCCGGCTATATATAGCATTTTATGTCCGGAATAAAGCAATCTATAAAATATTTAATCACACTTAATTAAAATCAATTAAAATATTTAGGTTGCTATAAAACAAAAGTTACATGGAATCCTGTTCAATTTTTTATTCACGTATTAAGGAGAATTTTCCTTATCTGATTAATATTTCGGAAATTACCATTTAAACGATGTCATAAAAACACCACAAGACTTATTGCCGTTTTCGACTAGGAGAATAATCCAGTCAAAAGGACAATTTAATTATTCCGGAATAATCGCCAAGGTTTTGCAGAGCATTTCGCGTGGATTGTTTTGCACCAAGGTTAATGAAGCTGGCAGAAATGTGAATGAAGAAGGAAAGTTCACCGATATCTGGATGTATCTCGTAAATCGGCGGAACAGTGACAGTTGTCTGCCTACGCGATTCCCGTGGACCTTCGTCGTAACAAGTATCAAGAACTCGTTTTTGTCCTTCCGGGTTACTCGAGCCCTCTCACTTTCGTCGAGCGACGACCTCGTGTGTCGATTCTGCACTTTGATAATCGAACAAATTCGAAGCGAGATCGAAAGGAACGGGACCGCGTAACTGACTATCGCGATTCGAGAAAGGTGGGCGTCAAAAAGTACGGCACACGATCGAGAAGACAGGTAGAAATAGAGATTTGTGTCACGAAGAGGTGTTCTTAATGGTTAACAAACGTTTTTTCAAAATTATCATGTTACGAAGATAACTGTGTAGGCATATTGATTATATTTGTCAACAGATAAGACGTATGTATACATCTAAATAGACAGTTCCAGTCTGCGATTCCGTATTATGATTTTAATTATGAAAATCGATGTTAGATAAAGATGTTAGTGTAATAAAAGAATGTTTCTTTTTCACCTTGTAGACTATTATACGTATACTGTATCGAACATGGTTGAATTTGTCTCCACGTTCACTTTCATATGATGTAAAAAGATATTTATAATTCCGAGTAATTGATTTTATTAATATTAATGTTATGACAGTTCTACGTATAATGTTCGTTGACAGATATCGTTAAAGGAACTTAATATGTATTATTTTCATGAAATATAGAATTTTCATTGTATTGGATTAACCAGGAAATACGTATGAAATACGTAATACACCTGATTGTCTCTTTAATAAGTAATATGCCATCATTTCTTACAAATTCTCTGCTAAATCTCATACAGTCGTTGATCTTTGACTTCGATATCATCGTAACATTTTAGATAGTTCTTGATTTTTAAGACTGAAATACCTGTTTCTAAATTTAGCAAATCGCTACGATATGGTGCTACGTCGAATGAATATTTACAATTTGGTTCTTCGATATCTTTCCTGAATTATAAAATTCACATGCACTCAACCGCTTGTTTTCTGCTCGTAATGTATTTCTAAAATCACGAGTGCTAATCCCATAAAATATGCAAAAACTTTCCGTTCAATCCAATACTTATAATATATTCACAAAAGAAAGTTTATAAATTAAACGATAATGAAAGAAGACACCTGTTGTGTTTTTGTCCATCATTTCGATCCCACTGTGGTGATTTCACCTTCGACTCACTATTTCAAACTGTTTCTCTTTCATTGACATTTACCTAGCACGGATCATAAACTTCATTTTCTTGTATAGGAGGCGAAAACCTTTTGCAATCACGAAGAAGATGGCTCGTGAACACCTGTAACGACGATCGTGCGCGGTTTAATTCGACGTTAAAACGTGCGGACTAGACGCGATATTAATCACCGGACTATGGTGAAAACGTCGATCGGCTGAGTGAACTCTCGATCTTGATTTACGAAGTCTACGAAACGAAGAGAAGGAAACTGACACGGTATCCTCCTTCGAAAGAATTGAATTGCCAACGTTTCGTTTCTCTCTCGCTCGTGTTCTTTTTTTTTTTTTTTTTTTTTTTTTTTTTTTTTTTTTTTTTTTTTTTTTTTTTTTTTTTTTTTTTTTTTTTTTTTTTTTTTTTTTTTTTTTTTTTTTTTTTTTTTTTTTTTTTTTTTTTTTTTTTTTTTTTTTTTTTTTTTTTTTTTTTTTTTTTTTTTTTTTTTTTTTTTTTTTTTTTTTTTTTTTTTTTTTTTTTTTTTTTTTTTTTTTTTTTTTTTTTTTTTTTTTTTTTTTTTTTTTTTTTTTTTTTTTTTTTTTTTTTTTTTTTTTTTTTTTTTTTTTTTTTTTTTTTTTTTTTTTTTTTTTTTTTTTTTTTTTTTTTTTTTTTTTTTTTTTTTTTTTTTTTTTTTTTTTTTTTTTTTTTTTTTTTTTTTTTTTTTTTTTTTTTTTTTTTTTTTTTTTTTTTTTTTTTTTTTTTTTTTTTGTTATAACGTTTGCCAGCCCGTTTTCACACGAATGCTTTGTTGCATTGTGAAGCAATGCAAATTCGGCTTGTTCATAATGCTTAGCTAACGAGTCCCTTCATTTGCCGGCGATGTAACGGGTATGTAAATAAGAAAATTGCTGCCTTTCCATTGCATTAACGCTACATTAGAATCTCCTAGGCGTAATCATTTTGATCACTTTTTCTCCTCGTTCTTTTAATGTTCCTAGTTATGGAATTTTTTTACTTGATGACATTTTATATCTGTGTTAACATACCATACGCATGAAGTTTTGAAGTTATATCTATTCTTCATCATTTACCAGATGATTGTTATACAAGGTTTTGTTCCAAAAGAAATTTTATTATTGAAATTTTATTATTTATCATATTGAATATTCACCTGGTAGTGTGTATCTATGTTTCCATCTAAAGGAGCCCACTGTAGATCAATATTTCTGTTCAGTTTATTACGTTGAATGTTGAATATTGGAGAACGTGCAACAAGACAGGGTATTAATGCATGATAAATTTTATTATTTTGCAAATCGTTCAAAACATTTCCATTCTGCGGAATATATTTTGTTTTTTGTATAGACGAAAAATTTGACGCAAACAACCCACACAAAGAGCGTTCGTAGTCATCCTCGGATGCAACGTATTGCGCTGAATTATTAATGGTCGTCCCTGGCAATCGCTAATCGTGACTAGTCGCGTAACGGTAAAGAAAAAGAGAAATGTTCTTTCTACATCCAATGACACCGATTGGTGAAACCTGCGACAACCTGGTTCGCGACAGGTCAGCACGCTCAGGAATTTTGGCTTCTCTGAATTCGCAATTTGCAGGTTTTCGCTGATTAATTAAGTGACAACGTTTTCATTATAACATTTAGAATCAAGCATAGATAGCTGTCCTAAAAAATTTCAGTTGATCAGTAGAAAGTTCATAACGATTGAAATATGTATGTAGGAAGCAAATTAATCATCAATTCTAGTATATTTGAATAAAGTTTAATCAGTTGTAGAATTTTGTTAAATTGGGTGCAGTTTCAAGACTATTTTACATTTTATTTTTTTTTTATTACATCATATAATTTTGTTATCTAATTAGATATTCAACTGGAGCAATTTCTAATCGCATTACATAATGTAATTTTATGTAACCGCTTCACTTTATAATTTCTTAAATATCACACATGAGTAAAATCTTGAAATATTGATCAACCTTAGCTACAGCTTATAATCATTCAAATAATGTTTTCTACGTATGATGAAACGTAAGAATCATACCCTGAATATAAAATATATTCGTTGATTGACAAATAATTTATGACAAATAATCTTTGGAATATACATTAAATAAACTTTATTTTGT